GTTGAGGGATGAAGTCACCTCTCAGCCTCCAAACTCCGCCCACTACTACCTGTGTCACCAGTGATGTCATTATGCTGTCATAAAGTAGTATAGATAGGACTTTTCTCAGGCTTTAGCTGCAGCTCTGGGGGGGTTTCGGGGACACGACGGTGACCTCGAAGCCCGGTAGAGCCACTGAGCTTCAGGCTCGTGGCGATGCCTTCCCATGCCTGACCGGCGCGCAACGGTCACTGGCAGGATGACCCCCAGAGCTCTTGTGAAAAGACAAACCCCAAATATCTCTCTCTCTCTTTCTCTGTCCTTTCCCACTTTCTCTATCCTTTCTCACTTTCTCTGTCCTCTCTTTCCTTCTTTCCTTCTTTCTCTTTTCACAAAAACAAAAAATAATTGTGTCTATGACACAAAGGAAAATGTTCAGTTTCCGTGCTGCAACAGATTTAAATCTGGTGACTGAGAAGGCCACTACAGGACGGTCCAGGATCTTTTTCTAAACCAAACTTTGGTTGACTTGGAGGTGTGCTTCGGATCATTGTCTTGCTGTCCAATGATCACCAAGGTTTAATTTGTCAACAGAAGGAATCACGTTCCTCTTTAAAATGGCCTGATATTTCTGGGAATCCATGAAGCCAGGTACACGATAAAGGCACCTAAAGGACTCTCAGACCATGAGAATCAAAATTCTCTGGTCTGATGAAACAAAGATTGAACTCTTTTGCCTGAATGCCAAACATCATGTCTGGAGGAAACCAGGTCCTACAAAGAAGAAACTGTCCAATAATCCGTCTGCCAAACTTGTAGCTTCATACTCAAAAAGACTTGAGGCTGTAATTGCTGCCAAAGGTGCTTCAACAAAGTACTGAGCAAAGGCTGTGAATACTTATGTACATGTTATATTTTTGTTCTTTATTTTTAATAAATAAGCAAAAACAACTTTTTTCATGTTGTCATTATGGATTATTGTGTGTAGAGTTTTGAGGAAAAACATGAATTTAATGTGAATATTTTCCAGATGCACTGTACGACTTAAAATGCCATTAAGATATAAAAGAAAACACATTTAAGTTGGATTTAACAACATAAAAATTAGATACAAATACAAATATAGAGGAAATATAAACTACGGTGGAATAAAAAAGAATAAAACAAATAATAAAAATTAGAATTCAAATAATAATAATAAATAAAACATCTAAACTCTCTTTGATTTTGAATTTAGAATTCTGAAATTGAAATCAGGATTCAAACTTTTTTTTTTTATTGTTTAACTTTAAACTCAATTTAAAATATTTATCACATATTTAATAAAAATGGTCCAGTAACCATTATTTGAGCTATTTTTCTACCTTGATAAATCACTTTAATGAACTCTAATGGACATATGAACTGATCAAACCATTAATCATAATGTATTATTAGTAAAATAATGGTAAAGTATTGAGTAATAAACTGATAACTGTCTACTTTAAAACAAAGTGGGTCATGGATTTATTGTAACCCAGGCCAGACCTGCAAAACAAAACAAAATGAATCTAAAATATAGATTCAATTTAATTGATTTAAAGGAAAACTGAACATTTTCCTTTATGTCATAGACACAATTATTTTTAGTTTTTGTGAAAAGAGAAAGAAAGAAAGAAGGAAAGAGAGGATAGAGATAGTGAGAAAGGACAGAAAAAGTGGGAAAGGACAGAGAAAGAGAGAGAGGTATTTGGGGTTTGTCTTTTCACAAGAGCTCTGGGGGTCATCCTGCCAGTGACCGTTGCGCGCCGGTCAGGCATGGGAAGGCGTCGCCACGAGCCTGAAGCTCAGTGGCTCTACCGGGCTTCAAGGTCACCGTCGTGTCCCTGAAACCCCCCCAGAGCTGAAGCTAAAGCCTGAGAAAAGTCCTATCTATACTACGTTGTGACAGCATAATGACATCACTGGTGACACAGGTAGTAGTGGGCGGAGTTTGGAGGCTGAGAGGTGACTTCATCCCTCAACTTACAGTCAATATTAATAATATAATAATAATTATAATAACAATATTGATCAAATAGTGTTGACAGCAGCAGGTGGAGTTCAGGGAAGCTTCTTTAACGCCACTCAGCTCCTCTCATAAGCAACAGACAGTTTAATGAGCCAAGATTTCAGGAGAAAACTGGTCTTCCAAAGACAAAAACATACAGTTCCCTGAATGTTTAAAGCATGTAAAGTGAATGTAAAGCACATTTATTATACAGCATCCCCAATATGTTGTATGTATCATCATTAGTGTGTTTTATAGTTCTATATTATACTTTTTGAAGTTGATACTGACTGAAACATGAGTGGGTATACCTGAGTATATCCTGCACTGCACTGATGGTTCCCAACCTGGGGGTTTGGTAAATGGGACTTTCTAGCAGTGATGTCAGCCTCAGCTGTACTTTGTGTCTAATTGGCAAATGTTAGCATGTTAACATGCCAAACTTAGACAGTGAACGTCTAACATTAAACCTGTTAGACATTAACATGTTGGTATTTTAACATTAATATTTACTCCAAGTGTCTGTGAGCTGCTAGCATGACTGTGAACTCACTTAAAATTAAAAATAATAATTATATATATATATAATTTATTACAGGGCTCCACATTGTGCATTCATTCCTGATGATGGATACCTCCTTCCTTACATAACACTCATATAACCTAACCTAAGGCATTTACAGTGGGTACGGAAAGTATTAAATTTTTCACTCTTTGTTTCATTGCAGCCATTTGCTAAAATCAAAAAAGTTCATTTTATTTCTCATTAATGTACACTCAGCACCCCATCTTGACAGAAAAAAACAAATGTAGAAATTTTTGCAAATTTATTAAAAGAAAAAATGAAATATCACATGGTCATAAGTATTCAGACCCTTTGCTGTGACACTCATATTTAACTCACATGCTGTCCATTTCTTCTGATCCTCCTTGAGATGGTTCTGCTCCTTCATTGGAGTCCAGCTGTGTTTAATTAAACTGATTGGACTTGATTAGGAAAGGCACACACCTGTCTATATAAGACCTTACAGCGCATGTCAGAGCAAATGAGAATCATGAGGTCGAAGGAACTGCCCAAGGAGCTCAGAGACAGAATTGTGGCAAGGCACAGATCTGGCCAAGGTTACAAAAGAATTTCTGCAGCACTCAAGGTTCCTAAGAGCACAGTGGCCTCCATAATCCTTAAATGGAAAAAGTTTGGGACGACCAGAACTCTTCCTGGTCCTGGCCGTCCAGCCAAACTGAGCAATCATGGGAGAAGAGCCTTGGTGAGAGAGGTAAAGAAGAACCCAAAGATCACTGTGGCTGAGCTCCAGAGATGCAGTAGGAAGATGGGAGAAAGTTCCACAAAGTCAGCTATCACTGCAGCCCTGCACCAGTCGGGGCTTTATGGCAGAGTGGCCCGACGGAAGCCTCTCCTCAGTGCAAGACATGAAAGCCTGCAGAGTTTGCCAAAAAACACATGAAGGACTCCCAGACTATGAGAAAGAAGATTCTCTGGTCTGATGAGACCAAGATTGAACTTTTGGCGTTAATTCTAAGCGGCGGCGGTGGTGGCAGCATCAGGCTATGGGGATGTTTTTCAGCTGCGGGGACAGGACGACTGGTTGCAATTGAAGGAAAGATGAATGCGGCCAAGTACAGAGAGATCCTGGAAGAAAACCTATTCCAGAGTGCTCAGGACCTCAGACTGGGCCGAAGGTTCACCTTCCAACAAGACAATAACCCTAAGCACACAGCTAAAATAACAAAGGAGTGGCTTCGGAACAACTCTGTGACCATTCTTGACTGGCCCAGCCAGAGCCCTGACCGAAACCCAATTGAGCATCTCTGGAGAGATCTGAAAATGGCTGTCCACCAATGTTCGCCATCCAACCTGACAGAACTGGAGAGGATCTGCAAGGAAGAATGGCAGAGGATCCCCAAATCCAGGTGTGAAAAACTTGTTGCATCATTCCCAAGAAGACTCATGGCTGTAGTAGCTCAAAAGGTTGCTTCTACTCAATACTGAGCAAAGGCTTCAAGGCTTTAACTTCAACTTTGTGCCTACTGTGCCTCCTGTGCCTCCTGAGTAAGTTGTACAAGAGCCATACTTGTGCCAAGAACAAAACTGGTCTGTCCTGTTTCCAGAGACCTGGGATGTATCTAGTTACAGCAACAATGTTATTGCTATTGTTTTTGTATTTGGACTGTTTGACTCAATATATAAAACAATAGAGGACAATTGATACACAGTACAGTGAACACAATAACTGCAAGAAGAGTTTCAAATACATTTTGAGCGGATTATTTCCTGTGAATATTGATCAGACATGAGTTTGAGAAGTCCATTATCAGATGCTGTTAAAAGATTGTTAGTAACTTTCACCAGTGCTGTCTCTGTGCTATGATGTACTCTAAATCCTGACTCAAAATCCTCAAATAAGCTGTTATGTAGAAAGTCACACAACTGTCAGAGTGAATACTCTTTGAATATTGGTTGTGTTCAGCTCTTATCCTGTTTAAAATGTTAAAAAATATACCCTTTCAAAATAAATATTTCATTTAGTTTTCTTCACAGAAGTGAACCCACTGTTTATTGTGTAGGTTAGACTGCTGGACTTGGCACTTTATTTTGTAATATGAGGGACAGTTAGAAACTGTGTGAATGTGAAGCCTTTTTTTAAACCAACAAAATACTGTAAGTTAGTAGGTAAATTTGACAAATGACAATAGTAAATGTTTTTCATATTGCTTTTTGTGGAACATTAGCTGAACTAGGATTAGCTTTGCTATATAGAAGCCTGTTATGCTCTTGGTTTGTGTGTGTTGTTGTGTACTTGAGGTAACAATAAAGCTAGCGTGACTTGTTATACACCCCTCCTTTCCCTTCACACTCACCTGCTCAGCCACTCCTGCAGCCACACCCCCTCATCAGCGCAACTGCTTCCACCTGGTCACCACAGTATATAAAGCGTCACTCATCCTCTGCTCACTTCCAGATTGTTCCACTGTTATGTGTGACTCTCCAGCCTGCGAATTAGGACTGATGGACTGTTGCGGGCCCTGCCTGTTTTCTAACCATTGCTTTTGCCTTATCCGTAGACCTTTGGACCTGATGCCTGTTCCGAGAAATCTGTGGTTTTACCTGCAACCCTCTACCACCTTCAAAGAGGAGTCCATCATCCCACTATCCCCTGAGTGAGTCTCCACTTTCCCTATTTCTTAAAGATTCACAGGCAACCCTCTGCTGCCCTCCTCCCTACCTTTAGTCCTCACTCCCCTGCCGTTTCCTGAGAGACACCTAGCTCAAATAGTGGCATCGGCAGCTCGCAGTGGCACAGTGTTGCCAACTAGGGGTGGGCGATACTGGGAATTTCGGTATCGATCCGATACCAAGTAAATACAGGGCTAGTATCGCTCATCAAGCAATGGGTGCTGCCTTGAGGCCCCTCCCCCACCCAAAGCATTCCAAGGGAGTGCCGTGGCATCTCAACCTGCCACCGGAAATGGGTCCGTGGTCCGTGTATGTTTTGGGTCCGTGTATGTTTTGGTCATTGGATTTTCCTTTCAGAAACGGGTACTAAAAAACAGAAAACGAGATTTGATTTTCGTTATAAAATACAAAAATTTAAATTGAACTACAAGGCGTTTTTCTTTTTCATGGTCAGAAAGGGATGAGCGAAATTTTAAAAAAATATTCGATTTTCATTTTCTATTTCATATAACAAAAAATAAAATCACTAGAAAACAGAAACGGAAAAAAAGGCCTGTTTCATATTCTGAGACCGGATGTTGTCATTTACAGGACGGTGCTGTGTAGAAGAAACAGTAGACTAGTAGACTGCGGTCAATCCAGCCGTGAGTCCGATCTCCGTGGTCAAATCAGCCGCACTTAAATTTAGAGTGTACAAGTATTCTCAGCATTATGGTAAATGCGGAGAAACAGCGTATTTACTTCCGGGTTTTCAAAATAAAAGTATTTAGAGCCCTAAACTATAATTAAAATATGTTACATTAAAGTGTTTCATACACCCCTGATGAATAAAACACACTTTATATCAAGTATCTTTACTGCACCAGTGTGGAGAAATGCCAAAATAGAAGTCTCATATTTATGCCTCCAGAGATTGCATATTTGAGGTACTGTAAAAACATATTGCTCAGTGTATGTGTGAAAAGTAAACAAATTAGAATTGTGTAGGGTTTAGTGTTTATATTAAGATGTAATTAAACATTTGTGTGAAATTTTGTCATAACTGCAGCATTATTGAAGTATAATGAAAATGCTTCACCCATAGCCATGAATTATTGAGCGTAAAAGTGTTTTTACAGTAGCTCAAATATATGAAAATATGCCACAAGGAGGTACAAATATGGGACTTTTATTGTTGAATTTCTCCAAATTTGTACAGTAAAAATGCTTGATATTAAGTATGTTTGTAGTCTCATATGTGTAAAAGTCAAATATACCACCAGTAGCCAGGAAACACTGAGCAATATGTTTTTACAGTACCTCAAATATGCAATCTCTGGAGGCATAAATATGAGACCTTTATTTTGGCATTTCTCCACACTGGTGCAGTAAAGATACTTGATATAAGGTGTTTTTTTATTCATCAGTTCCACTGTTATGTGTGACTCTCCAGCCTGCGAATTAGGACTGATGGACTGTTGCGGGCCCTGCCTGTTTTCTAACCATTGCTTTTGCCTTATCCGTAGACCTTTGGACCTGATGCCTGTTCCGAGAAATCTGTGGTTTTACCTGCAACCCTCTACCACCTTCAAAGAGGAGTCCATCATCCCACTATCCCCTGAGTGAGTCTCCACTTTCCCTATTTCTTAAAGATTCACAGGCAACCCTCTGCTGCCCTCCTCCCTACCTTTAGTCCTCACTCCCCTGCCGTTTCCTGAGAGACACCTAGCTCAAATAGTGGCATCGGCAGCTCGCAGTGGCACAGTGTTGCCAACTAGGGGTGGGCGATACTGGGAATTTCGGTATCGATCCGATACCAAGTAAATACAGGGCTAGTATCGCTCATCAAGCAATGGGTGCTGCCTTGAGGCCCCTCCCCCACCCAAAGCATTCCAAGGGAGTGCCGTGGCATCTCAACCTGCCACCGGAAATGGGTCCGTGGTCCGTGTATGTTTTGGGTCCGTGTATGTTTTGGTCATTGGATTTTCCTTTCAGAAACGGGTATTAAAAAACAGAAAACGAGATTTGATTTTCGTTATAAAATACAAAAATTTAAATTGAACTACAAGGCGTTTTCTTTTTCATGGTCAGAAAGGGATGAGCGAAATTTAAAAAAAATATTCGATTTTCATTTTCTATTTCATATAACAAAAAATAAAATCACTAGAAAACAGAAACGGAGAAAAAAGGCCTGTTTCATATTCTGAGACCGGATGTTGTCATTTACAGGACGGTGCTGTGTAGAAGAAACAGTAGACTAGTAGACTGCGGTCAATCCAGCCGTGAGTCCGATCTCCGTGGTCAAATCAGCCGCACTTAAATTTAGAGTGTACATGTATTCTCAGCATTATGGTAAATGCGGAGAAACGGCGTATTTACTTCCGGTTTTCAAAATAAAAGTATTTAGAGCCCTAAACTATAATTAAAATATGTTACATTAAAGTGTTTCATGCACCCCTGATGAATAAAACACACTTTATATCAAGTATCTTTACTGCACCAGTGTGGAGAAATGCCAAAATAGAAGTCTCATATTTATGCCTCCAGAGATTGCATATTTGAGGTACTGTAAAAACATATTGCTCAGTGTATGTGTGAAAAGTAAACAAATTAGAATTGTGTAGGGTTTAGTGTTTATATTATCAAGATGTAATTAAACATTTGTGTGAAATTTTGTCATGATAACTGCAGCATTATTGAAGTATAATGAAAATGCTTCACCCATAGCCATGAATTATTGAGCGTAAAAGTGTTTTTACAGTAGCTCAAATATATGAAAATATGCCACAAGGAGGTACAAATATGGGACTTTTATTGTTGAATTTCTCCAAATTTGTACAGTAAAAATGCTTGATATTAAGTATGTTTGTAGTCTCATATGTGTAAAAGTCAAATATACCACCAGTAGCCAGGAAACACTGAGCAATATGTTTTTACAGTACCTCAAATATGCAATCTCTGGAGGCATAAATATGAGACCTTTATTTTGGCATTTCTCCACACTGGTGCAGTAAAGATACTTGATATAAAGTGTTTTTTTATTCATCAGTTCCACTGTTATGTGTGACTCTCCAGCCTGCGAATTAGGACTGATGGACTGTTGCGGGCCCTGCCTGTTTTCTAACCATTGCTTTTGCCTTATCCGTAGACCTTTGGACCTGATGCCTGTTCCGAGAAATCTGTGGTTTTACCTGCAACCCTCTACCACCTTCAAAGAGGAGTCCATCATCCCACTATCCCCTGAGTGAGTCTCCACTTTCCCTATTTCTTAAAGATTCACAGGCAACCCTCTGCTGCCCTCCTCCCTACCTTTAGTCCTCACTCCCCTGCCGTTTCCTGAGAGACACCTAGCTCAAATAGTGGCATCGGCAGCTCGCAGTGGCACAGTGTTGCCAACTAGGGGTGGGCGATACTGGGAATTTCGGTATCGATCCGATACCAAGTAAATACAGGGCTAGTATCGCTCATCAAGCAATGGGTGCTGCCTTGAGGCCCCTCCCCCCACCCAAAGCATTCAAAGGGAGTGCCGTGGCATCTCAACCTGCCACCGGAAATGGGTCCGTGGTCCGTGTATGTTTTGGGTCCGTGTATGTTTTGGTCATTGGATTTTCCTTTCAGAAACGGGTATTAAAAAACAGAAAACGAGATTTGATTTTCGTTATAAAATACAAAAATTAAAATTGAACTACAAGGCGTTTTTCTTTTTCATGGTCAGAAAGGGATGAGCGAAATTTAAAAAAAAATATTCGATTTTCATTTTCTATTTCATATAACAAAAAAATAAAATCACTAGAAAACAGAAACGGAAAAAAGGCCTGTTGTTTCATATTCTGAGACCGGATGTTGTCATTTACAGGACGGTGCTGTGTAGAAGAAACAGTAGACTAGTAGACTGCGGTCAATCCAGCCGTGAGTCCGATCTCCGTGGTCAAATCAGCCGCACTTAAATTTAGAGTGTACAAGTATTCTCAGCATTATGGTAAATGCGGAGAAACAGCGTATTTACTTCCGGTTTTCAAAATAAAAGTATTTAGAGCCCTAAACTATAATTAAAATATGTTACATTAAAGTGTTTCATGCACCCCTGATGAATAAAACACACTTTATATCAAGTATCTTTACTGCACCAGTGTGGAGAAATGCCAAAATAGAAGTCTCATATTTATGCCTCCAGAGATTGCATATTTGAGGTACTGTAAAAACATTGCTCAGTGTATGTGTGAAAAGTAAACAAATTAGAATTGTGTAGGGTTTAGTGTTTATATTATCAAGATGTAATTAAACATTTGTGTGGAATTTTGTCATGATTACTGCAGCATTATTGAAGTATAATGAAAATGCTTCACCCATAGCCATGAATTATTGAGCGTAAAAGTGTTTTTACAGTAGCTCAAATATATGAAAATATGCCACAAGGAGGTACAAATATGGGACTTTTATTGTTGAATTTCTCCAAATTTGTACAGTAAAAATGCTTGATATTAAGTATGTTTGTAGTCTCATATGTGTAAAAGTCAAATATACCACCAGTAGCCAGGAAACACTGAGCAATATGTTTTTACAGTACCTCAAATATGCAATCTCTGGAGGCATAAATATGAGACCTTTATTTTGGCATTTCTCCACACTGGTGCAGTAAAAATACTTGATATAAAGTCTTTTTTTATTCATCAGGGGCACAACACTTTAATGTAACATATTTTAATTATAGCTTACGGCTCTAAATACTTTTATTTTGAAAACCGGAAGTAAATACGCTGTGTGGAAGAAACAGTAGGCTAGTAGACTGCGGTCAATCCAGTCGTGAGTCCGATCTCCGTGGTCAAAATAGCCGCACTTAAATTTAGAGTGTACAAGTATTCTCAGCATTATGGTAAATGCGGGGAAACAGCGTATTTACTTCCGGTTCCAAAATAAAGGTATTTAGAGCCGTAAGCTATAATTAAAATATGTTACATTAAAGTGTTGTGCCCCTGAATTTCTCCAAATTTGTACAGTAAAAATGCTTGATATGAAGTGTGTTTGTAGTCTCATATGTGTAAAGTCAAATATACCACCAGTAGCCAGGAAACACTGAGCAATATGTTTTTACAGTACCTCAAATATGCAATCTCTGGAGGCATAAATATCAGACTTCTATTTTGGCATTTCTCCACACTGGTGCAGTAAAGATACTTGATATAAAGTGTGTTTTATTCATCAGGGGTGCATGAAACACTTTCCCAGGATATGAAACAACAGGCCTTTTTTTCCGTTTCTGTTTTCTCGTGATTTTGTTTTTTGTTATATGAAATAGAAAATGAAAATCGAATATTTTTTAAAATTTCGCTCATCCCTTTTTGACCATGAAAAGAAAAAATGCCTTGTATTTTAATTTTAGTATTTTAAAACGCAAATCAAATAACAACTCGTTTTCTGTTTTTTAATACCCGTTTCTAAAAGGAAAATCCAGTGACCAAAACATACACGGACCGAAATGCCACTGCGAGCTGCCAATGCCACTATTTGTCCTTGATGCCTTGCTATACAATGGCAAAATATTTAGATTATAGAACTTAAATCCGATTAACTTTTCATGTGGTCTTCATCGGGTGTTACTAAATTTGTGTACTACTTGTGATAAATAAGTTAATGTTCATATAATGTTTTCTTAGGGTGGACATTCTACACGATGATTCACAGGAGTGTGAGAACAACTTCACGGCATGTGTCCCTGAGATGAGACTGGTTGGTGAATTTTGAAAGAAAATCAGAAGCAGCACTAAGTTTAGAATACCTATGTAACTAGAACCAAAATCAATAGATTTTTAATTAACAAAAGCAGTTATCAAAATAGTTGATACATCAGAATATACGGATTAAGATACACCATCTTGCCCAAACTAATCTTGATCTAATTTTATCTTCCTTCAGGTTATTGTGGTCTGCAGCATCAAAGCGGTCTTGGAAACAAACCAGGAGGCTTACTGGATTCATCAGACAAAGCTACACCTTCGAGATACTCTTGTCTATTTAATAGGGAGTAAAAATGGCAAGATGAACTGGATAGAGGATGAACAGGGACTACAGGATGTTCTTTCCAAGTGTGGTGTTATTAAATCAGGAAAGCCTATTGGAATCACCTGTCACTATGCAGGCAAAGTATTTTTTGAAACCCTGCTGAGGGACCTCTATGAGACCACCGGCATCAAGACAAAGCTACATCTTAGCGATATTTTGGTCCTGGTCTGTCAGACAGGGGAGAATATTACCCAAGAGATCTCTACAGAAGGGCTGCAATCGCAAAATAAAGATGACCGCAAGAAAGTGGTGGTGACCCTTGATCGGAATGTTCCCGACACAGACAGTTGGCCACAGAATCCACAAAGATTTATTAGCGAGGAAGTTTTTGAGAATTTTGAGCATCCTGACGGAGTACGTTCTGCTTGTGATGAACTTGAGGCTCTATCCTGGGGATTCTTCCACACAGACTTGCCCCTTCCACAAAAGATTGACATCAATAGCATGCAACAGCGTTATATAATAGGGGAAAAAAATGGCAAGAAGATGAACTGGATAGAGGATGAACAGGGACTACAGGATGTTCTTTCCAAGTGTTATGATATTAAATCAGGAAAGGATATTATTAGAATCATCCGTCACTATGCAAAGACTGGAGAGAGTAAGTTCACATACCTGATGGTCAAAGAGTGGATATACATTGTTGATCCTACAAGTCTCTATGTGTATCCAGTTGGAAAAAAGCTTGACAACAATGAAATAAAAAACATTAAAAAAGTAAAAAAATGTATTATTGATCAGATAGGCAAAGAAAGATACTCAGACATGCATAGTCAATTTAAGACAGATAAAGCTAAAATACACTTTGCTGAATATGTGAAAAGGATTTTTCTTGGAGAGCACCATTATATACATCCCCCCACTGAGGCCTGGTACACCACATATTTCACTGCATCAGTTATATCTGAATCTGCTAGAAACTTCCGGACATTTCCTCTAATTCTTATGGCCCTAGATATGATTGAAAGCTCAGACAACATTATCCGAGAGAAAGGACTGAAATTTCTTTTTGAGGAACATTCAATGGCATGTGGAGGTACTTGGATAGACACAAAGAGGCGTGGATTTAGTGGCTCAGCAAAAATTCAGGCAAGTAGCCAATTATTAAAACTTAAATCTGTCATTAGAAAGGAATTAGGATTGTACCAATCATGGAAAAAAATGCCTGAAAATGTAGACAATGTTAAGTCTATATCGAACATGCTAATAAAATATAAGTTAACTGAAAGTGATTCAGTGAAACCATTTGTTGATGAGTACAAAAAGTTAAAAGAAAGCAGTAAAACCTAAAATCTGCCACAAATTTTAGAATTCCTTTCATGCTACAAGACTTCCATTAACCAGGAAGTGGACACATGGTTTCTTCCAGACCTCCCTGCCAGTTCCATTGCTGCATTGTATTTGTTTGTGTATTTTTTTTTTTTTTTTGTCCTTCAAGAATCTTTGAGTATTGTGACCCGCTTTATCAAATATAATACAAATTAAAACTCCTATATGGAAATTGATGTTTGAAAATGTTTTTGTTTTGTTCAGAAGGACCAATAAAGGCACCAGTTTCAAAGAATTGGAATTTTCTGTCAATTATTTAATGGTTTGGGCTTTACAGGGTTAAAGGGACACTTCACCCATTTGCATTAAGCTTTGTATCATTAGAACCCCAGTCATATTTTTGACTGGTCGTGCATCATTCCCTCACTTTCCCTGAGAGGGGAGAAATACAGATTTTAGTGTTGCACTTCCTGCTTCCAATGATGTAAAAATCGCCATTTTGCGTCATTGGAAGCAGGAAGTCTCATATCTCTGTAGAGGGGGTGAGTATGGCAAGCCATTTTAACATTTAACAGCTAGACTGGATATGTGTTGAAGATATCTCTAATTCAGTTTTGCCTAGTCAAAAAGAACATTTCAGATATCAACTACAGATAGCAACTACATTCTTCCTAGGACAAATGACGTAACTTTTGCCATACATTTGTATGGGGTTTATCATTACAGATATCTACAATTCAGTTGCAGATATCCACTATGTGAATTAGGGATATCTGCAATATTTGTTCTGGGGGCACTACTAGCAGCAAGAACTACTGCTAATACACATCAAAATCGCTATTTTTAAAATACTAAGAAGGCTCGACGCAACATGACACTTTGCTTGCAGTATTATAAGGGTCCTTACACATGAACTCGAGCATTGAGAACATTGTTCATGTACAAAGTGTTGCTTAAAAGACGTTTTTGTTAGCACAGGACCTAGCTAACGTTACCTCACGTTGTCTTTCATATATCTCATATTCATATTCCAGCATTAAACGGTTTTGTTTCCCTAACTTGTTCTACTTGGGTTGACATATCGTGCTTCGTTACTGTAAAGTTATTTGTAGCATAATTTACTGGCCTGGCCTAATGCACCAGCCTCATAAATATTTACGCTTAAGGTTAATTCGCTTGTAGGTATTGATTTCAGGTTGAAACTGTAGCTAACAGGTAATCATGGCTTTTTACTGTGGGAAAAAAAAAGAACTAATCTGAACTAAGAACTTCTCATCTAAGGAAGTTAATGGTATTGCACTTCCATGCCAAGAATAGCATGCATGTCAGCATTTTTATTAAAGTGATTTAGTGGGAATCTCTCTCATGCATGAATCTTACATCAACAATAACCTACGGTAATTTTAAGCATGATCATAAACATAGAAATGCATGGCAAACATTGCATGTTGCCAACGGGGAGTTAAAAAGCGTGCTAAAGTGCCCTCCTGGTTGGCAAAATACACCAAATTGCCCTCTTGGGTGGAAAAAACACTCAACTGCCCTCTTCTAAGTTCTATTATTAGGTAGAGATGCTGCCTAAAGAGGTGCTAATATGGTGTTAAAATGCACTAGAATACAGGAAATGGCATCTACTTAATTGAAAAGACCCCCCGGACCCCCTGGGGATTTCTGTCCTTCATACATCCATGTCACTGTGTGTTCTTCACAGCCCAATGTTGAAATCCACACAGTTCTCGTGGATGCTGATCCTAACAGCAAACTAACCTGCGTAGTCTGTCTAGTTAGTCTGTTTTAAGGCTATATAATGTGCCATTTGTATAACATATAAAACTTGTCTAAAGTGCCCTCTCCAGTGGTGAGGACGTGCTTTATGTGCCCTTTTTTTTTTTTCGCCCCTGCCCTTCAAAAAGTCTGTGCACGCCACTGCTGCTGACAGTTATGTATCTGTGTTTACAGGGGGATCTGGTGGCCACAGGGAAAACCCTATTTGGCAAGCAAAACTTTTCCTCCTTCCAGGGCCAGATAATGGTTTTCTGCCCCCCACAAAATAACTTGACGAACTGGCTAAACTTGGATTAGGTAAATGTGAGATTAAAGCACATAAGAATTGAGTGTTATTTACTTTTACACCCTATCTAATCTTCTTGCAAAGAAAGCTATGGAATGAGCTGCTTTGAATTTTGTTAGCTTGAGCCTGTCTGGTCCCATTTGTTATACTGTCTCTATATTGGAAAACATTTGGCTATGTTAAAATACATGTAGCATTTGTTTTAAAGAAATATTGCAGAGCAGTTTACTCTTTGGTGTATTTTCATAACAGTTTCCATGTAGCCATTTTAATAATTACACCTATGCACGTTCTCATGCCAAGGCATCACTTTGAAAGTGTCCAGAAATACCTCCCATTCAATCCTTTTGCATCACCTATCTGAAATTAGTCAATGGTGGTTATGGTTAGTGTGAGGATCTGGGTGGTGCATTCAGAGGCTAAGCCTCACCATATATTGTATGTTAATGGTCTTTCACATATTATGCCCAGATGCTCAAATGTGTGATGGCCTTGTGATTGAAACCAGGCTCTTTCTTCTCAGTCATATGCAATTTTCTTAGGAGGGTAGGGTTCATTTAGTTTTAAAGCTGTAAACTTAGTAGAAACACAAATGATCTTAGGTTAACTGTGGTAGTCATACAGGTCTACTTTTGGGGTTTGGCAACATTACGATTATGTCTGAAAATATGACAACACAGTTTGGATGCCTTGATTTGTGAAATTTATTGTCTTTGAAACTGGCTTCTCGAACATTGTAGGAGTCAGGGCAAGATCTTTCAGGATGCTAGGAGTCCTGAAAGATCTTGTGTATAGCAACTAATGAATGTGTTACTTTGCCACTTGGAACAGATTATACTGATGTTTCCATTGATAACTGGAAGCCTTTTTGGGGAAAACCTGGTCTGATTAGGAGAGACGGCATCCATCCCACTTTGGATGGAGCGGCTCTCTTATCTAGAAATATGGCGAAGTTTATTTCTAAAACCTGACAGTCCAGAGTTAGGACCAGGAAGCAGAGCTGTTGTCTTACACACTCCTCTGCGCTTTCTTTAGAACAGTCACCCACCCAAAACCCCATAGAGACTGTGTCTGTCCCCCGACCACCTAAACTATTTAAAGAAATAAAAACAAGAGGAGTTCAACATAAAAATCTAATAAAAATTAAAACCAACTCGTCAGTAACACAAAATAAGAGAATGAAATGTGGGCTGTTAAATATCAGGTCTCTGTCCTCTAAAGCTGTTTTAGTGAATGAATTAATATCAGATTATGATATTGATTTACTTTGTCTTACTGAGACCTGGTTGTCCCACGAGGAGTATGTTAGCCTAAATGAATCCACCCCCCAGTCATATTAATACTCACATTCCTCGAGGCACAGGCCGAGGAGGTGGAGTAGCAGCTATATATGATTCGAGCGTTTTAATGGACCCTAAACCTAAACTAAATTATAATTCATTTGAAAGCCTTGTTCTTAGTCTTTCTCACCCAAACTGGAAAACACTGCAGCCAGTTCTATTTGTTATAGTGTACCGCGCTCCTGGACCGTACTCTGATTTTATATCTGAATTTTCAGAGTTTCTATCAAGCTTAGTCCTTAAATCAGATAAAGTAATTATTGTAGGTGATTTTAATATTCATGTGGATGTTGACAATGACAGCCTTAGTAATGCATTTATATCATTAATAGACTCAATTGGCTTCTGTCAGAGTGTAAATAAACCAACTCATTGTTTTAATCACACTCTTGACCTTGTTTTATCATATGGCATTGATATTGAACATTTAATAGTCTTCCCACATAATCCTTTCCTATCTGACCATTATTTAGTAACTTTTGAATTCATACTATTAGATTATAAGCCATTAGGCAAAACTTCCTACAGCAGATGTTTATCTGACAGTGCTGTAGCTAAATTTAAGGAGGAGATTCCTTCAGTGTTTAATTCAATGCCATGTCTGAATTTAACAGAGTCCTATAACAACTTTAGTCCCTCTGAAATTGATAATCTTGTCGATAGTGCTACAGGCTCACTACGATCAACATTAGACTCTATCGCTCCTATAAAAAGGAAATTATTAAAACATAGGAGACTAGCACCTTGGTATAACCACCAAACCCGCCAGTTAAAGCAAATAGCTAGGAAATCTGAAAGGAAATGGCGCTCTTCCAAATTATCAGAATATCGCTCAAATTGGCAAGATGATCTTAAGATTTATAGAAAGGCCCTCCGTAATGCCAGAGGAGCCTATTACTCAGCACTAATAGAAGAAAATAAGAACAACCCTAGGTTCCTCTTCAGCACTGTAGCCAGGCTGACAGAGAGTCACAGCTCTATCGAGCCACATATCCCCATAAACTTAAGTAGCAATGACTTCATGAGCTTCTTCTATAATAAAATTATTACTATTAGAGAAAAATTCATCACCAACTGCCATCAACAGTTATCAGTGGCTCTCCAAGTTCAGGGACTTCTGTCAATGTAAACTTAGATGTATATTTAGACTGTTTTTCTGCTATCGATCTTCATCAGTTAACTTCAATCATTTCTTCATCGAAGCCATCAACCTGTCTGTTAGACCCGATCCCAACTAGGCTGCTTAAAGAAGTTGTTCCCTTAATTGGCACTTCTTTACTGGATATGATTAATCTTTCTTTATTATCAGGATATGTACCACAGTCCTTTAAAGTAGCTGTAATTAAACCCCTTCTTAAAAAGTCTACTCTTGACCCAGGGGTTTTAGCCAACTATAGACCGATTTCTAACCTCCCGTTCCTCTCTAAGATTCTGGAGAAAGTAGTCGCCAAAGAGTTGTGTGACTTTCTACATAACAATAGTTTATTTGAGGATTTTCAGTCAGGATTTAGAGTTCATCATAGCACAGAGACAGCTCTGGTTAAAGTTAATAATGACCTTCTGACTGCTTCTGACAATGGACTTGTCTCTGTACTTGTATTATTAGATCTTAGTGCTGCATTTGACACCATTGACCATGATATTCTTTTACAGAGACTTGAGCATCAAATTGGCATTAAAGGAACTGCCCTAACCTGGTTTAAGTCATACTTATCAGATCGTACTCAGTTTGTACATGTTAACGATGAATCCTCCATAAATACTAAAGTTAGTCATGGAGTTCCACAAGGTTCTGTACTTGGACCAATACTATTTACTTTATATATGCTCCCTTTAGGCAACATTATTAGGAATCACTCCATTAAC